AAGAAAACTCCATGTTTCCATGACAAAAAAAAGAGACTTCAGTTGAGCATCCTTTCTACTAATGTAGTACCAAAGCAGCTCCAGTGACTCTGAAAACCTGTATGCCTCAAACCCAGTATTTTAATGCTAACTCTTGTTGCTGTCATAAGAAAAAAAAAAAAAACCCTATTAGTAGGTATGGTTGGAAGTTGTAATCCATCAGGGACAGTAGCAACAGGACAAAGGGTAATGGAATTTAACTAAAACAAGGGAAGTTCAGGTTAGATATAAGGAAGAAGTTCTTTATTGTGAGGGTGATGAGGCACTGGAATGGGTTGCCCAGAGAAGCTGTGACTGCTCCATCCCTGGTAGTGTTCAAGGACAAGTTGGACAAAGCCTTGGGTGAGATCGTTTAGTGTGAGGTGTCCCTGCCCATGGCAGGGGGGTTGGAACTAGATGATCTTAAGGTCCTTTCCAACCCTAACTATTCTATGGTATTTGCTTGTAAATTATGGGAATGTTTGGTTAAGATACTTATTATAAATGCATAACGTGATTAGGAGCTAAGGAAAAACAGGCCTATGCTGTCTAAACTATCTGTATATGAACTGTATTTGCCAATGTGCTAGGTAAACATCCCACTAAAAGGTGAAGACTAAGCAGCTGGGAAAAATTACATACAAAAAGTAATAAGGGTTCCGTGGTGACATGTTGGAAACTGTTATTTGTTTGTTATTGTTTGGAAGGACTGTGTGCAAATGCAGATTTGTTTTTAGGCAGCTAAGTGAGTGTGGTAATCACTGAACCCTCAGGTAATTGTCTTAAGAGTTGACAGACTCTTAGATCTTACTGTGTAAATGCTTCCATCTGTGGCAGGCCTCTGCATTAGGTCTTGGGATGTGTTACGGTAGCCTAAACATCTTGTTTTTCTTTTTCTAAAGGAATTCCTATTACTAGTGCATCATATTTTGCCACTGTGACACTTGACCAAGTTAAACACGTATTTCGCTCTGACACGGAAGTGTCCATACCTTTGATTGAAGAAAGACATAGGGTGCTGAATGAAAGTGGAACAATTCTGCTGGAGAAGTTTGGAGGCTCTTTTCTCACCTGCGTTAAAATGAGTAAGGGAAGTGCTCAGAAACTACTACAGCTAATACTGGAGAACTTTCCTTCTTACAGAGATGAAGCTGTATATGAGGTAAGCTGGTTCTAACAGTAGGTTTCTTCTGATAAGAATTTATTCATCCTTGATTGTGTGACTTTAAAAGATAGCTCTTAGGTTGTCTAAATTTTTCGGAGAAGTTAGTTCAGAATTGATCTAATATTTGTGAACTGGGGGGGTTTAATCCAGGAAATGAAAGGTAAATAGAAACATTTCTGTGGAATATGTGAAATTCAAGGGAAATAAGAGGGGAAAGTTATTCTTAATATTTTTGCCTAAAATCAGCAAAGATATTGTCCTGTATAATGAAATGAAAATCAGACTGTGAAGCAGCTGATCTTAATTATGTCAGTTGCTAAGAGTCACACAGATAAGGAAGAAGGTTTTTTAAATAATACTCTTGGTCCACAGTATGCTTCTTGATAAGCTGGGGTAAGGTAATTCAGATTTCATTTCTTTATCATTCTAAACCTCCAAAAACAGAGTCACACCGTTTATTAACAGTAAAAGAACTTTGATTGTGTTAAGTCCTTACCTAGTCAGGAACGTATTTCTAAAAACAACAGTCATGTTTTTTTCCTTCTGGAGGAGAGCTGTTTTTTTTTCATTTGCTGTCTCTGTCTTTGTTGCTTTGTTGTGATTTATTTTTATATTACTCCATGTTCCGGGTAGATCATGACTCCTTCGTACTCCTTAAAAATGCATGACATTTGAGATGATTACTGCCTGGAAAAATCACAAATTTATCATTCCCCCCCTTTGCCTCAGTTGCTACTGACAATCCCTATTCCCCATCTCCTTCTTCTGCCGTGAGTTTCTTTGCAGCTAAAGAAGGAAATGAAGCTGGTAGAATTGTAAAAGTGTAGAACTACTGGGAATCCACACTATAACTTCCGTTGATTCAACAGGCATTGCACAAATGACTGCAGGCCAAAAGTAATTGATAACTTTTGTCAGGATTGACGGTATAGTGGAGCTTTTTGGAGTTGTTTTCCTGAAGGAAACTGATGGGAAGTAGACCAACACTATCTGGTGTTTTCCATGTCTCTAATTTTGCTGTATAGGCAACATCTTCATTTAGCATCAGTGGCATACGTAGCCGCTTCTGTGCTCGGTCCCATCTGCAAAAATTCAGCTGTTGTATTGTTATGTCTTAAAGACTATGCTGCTGGCAGCATGGCATATACCAATAGTCCATGCAGTCCTCTCAAGGTAACTCTGTGGAGTACAAGTCACTGGAGCTTTGAACCTATTGCACTTATAACTTAAATCTGCCATTTAGTAGGTGGCGTGACTGGAATTTTACCTCATTAACGTTACAGATAAACAGATTTAATTAAATATTTCAGTTGTTTAATCCAGTACATGTTTTTTCTCCTTGAAAGAAAAGGTTGGATGGTATTGATTAGATTTTACACTGTTAAAGAGTGTTGCATTTTTATTGTTTGCTTAACCACAAACACAATAGTTTATTTCATAGAATGGAACTCTTTACATGTCTCTCTCTGTAAATACCATTGCTGTATTTGTTGATGTTTCAAGTACTTTAATAATTAATACATTTCTTTCCTCAGAAAAAAAAGGTGTCTTTCTACAAACGGGCACAAATACTTGTGGCTGATACATGGAGTGTATTAGAAGGCAAAGGAGATGGCTCTTTTGAAGACATTTCTAGTCTGACTATATTTGCTGACTATCGAATTCCCCAAGTTCTTGTTCACCTAAAAGCAATGAAATATTCTGAGGAACTAATGAAGAAACTACGTGAAGGTTTGTTCCTCCCTTACTAATACCAAGTAATCTTACCTCTTGACACTCTAGGCTAAAGCTGCTTTTACAGTGTAATGTTTTGTCCATGTAAGGGTCGTGTAATTTTATTCTTCTCCACCAAACAAGGACCACGTATGTAGTGATGTGGCAACAAGAAGGAGCTTTAACAGTAATCCTGCATGACATCTTAAGGTTATGCTTTTATAAAGGTCTAACAGTTCCTTGGCTTAAACACTGGTAAGGGAAGGATTAAAGAAACACTAAGATCTAAATTTCTGAAGGGCTGCTTTTGCCAAAACCATGCTTCAGAATCAGTATAGTTATGATTTTTGAAGTTTAGGTAACAGAAGCAACTCTTTTGTCATTAGTTCAAAGATTATATAAATGGGGATTCCTCAGTATCTGTACTGAGCTACTGGTGACAGGCAAGGTAATATTAAGCATCCATTAAAAAAGAATTGCTTGAAGTTAATTTCATCAAACTCCAGTCTTGTTTCTAAGCACAGTTCCATCTTCCAGTACTGTGAACATCAGTGAATAAAAACATAAACCAACCCTTTATCCGCTGTAAAATGACTGTGTCTAGAGGTAGGACTGCTGTTACACAATTTTAAAATTACACAGTAAGATAAACAGATTAATACAATTATCCATGGATCATAATAGGATGGCCACATATATATATGCCAATATATATGTGTGTATTAAATAGATCATGTAGACAATTTATCTTTTCCATGAAACCTAGTTAAGGACAGTCCCATCCAAGTCATTCAAACAAATCAGTCCCTTTACATTTATATATATATATATATATAGGTAGCTTTCTTGATTATTTTAGTTTTGGATTTATTTTTTTTTGGAGAGGGGGAAAGAAGGGATTTTTTTTTGTTTCAGTTTGGATTTTTTTTAATTTTATTTTTTAGTCTTGAATAGAATTATCCTGGAAGAAAATATGTGGTATTGAAATTACATTTGACTACACTTTTTATATCCACAAGCAAAGAAATAGTCATATAACGTGCAATATAACCCAAACACCTGTTCTTTTCTTAAACAACTTTCTTAAAATACAGAATGCTGTTTTAATTGAATAGGGGGTGAACTTATATGTGCATATGATAAAACTAGTCATTAGAAAATGCACAGCAACACTGTCAGCAGTTGCAGTGTATTAGCCATGAAAACTGCAGTCCTCATTTAGGATAAATGTGGAGGGCGCGTAAGGCAAATTCAGGCCATCCTGGGTCTCCTGTCTTTTGCATATAAACGGATTGCTGTCTCTTTGTGTCCTGCAGGAACAATTTTCCAGTCTGGAGATAAAGAGGAGGTAGAGATCCGTGGCTGTTCCATTTGGTGTTGCGCTTTGATTTGTAAGCATCTGCTGGAGCTATACGAGAAGAAGGGTCAGGACATGCGTGACAAAATCAATGCAGTTTTGCTGGACTACTATCTTTGGGACTATGCCCGGGAACACCGGGAGGAGATGAAAGACATTCCCTTCCACCAAGTGCGGTCTATCTATTACTAAGTCCAGCCTGATGGCTGTTGTGTTGATGTATTATTTGTTGAATAACGATTACTCGTTTTGTGGGATGGTTTGTCATGTACTAATTTGGAACGGGCTAAATGAAATGCTCATTTCCTGATGATGAATTAAGAACTTGCCTTTTGTTTTCTTTCTCTGAATCTCTCTTGCTGTGATTGGAATTTGTTGTGTGATCTTAGCTGGGCAGCCCCTGTCGCTGCAGGGCTTATCGCTCCTGTTTCCAGTTCTGCGTTTGTGTATGTACCGGTGCAGGTACCGTTTTGTTTCTTGAATAAACTGCAGTCATATAAATCGCATGGAGACCTCTCCGTTTTATGGGGCGGGTGCAGACCGTCGGCAAATGCTGCCGTGCGTTCCTCGCTGGGATGGGGGGGTGGTGCGGGAGGCTCTTCCTCGCCGCTGGGGGGCGCTGTGGGCGCCGGGCGGGGCGCTCGGCGGGGCCGCCGCCGGACGTTGCCGCCGTTGCCTAGCGAGGCGCCGTAAACAACGGGGAGACAGCGGCTGCGGCTGCCACCGCTCCGCCGGGCCCCAGCGCGGCCAGTCCCAACACGCCCCTCCTGACGGGACCCTCCTCAGCGGCCAGCGGCGCGGAAGTCGGGGGATGGCCGGGCAGGGGGACTAGGGAACGCTCCGAGGCCCGGGCGACTCCCGAGACCCAGGCAGGATCCCGTTCCTGGCTCCTCTCAGGTTTGAGATGAAAGGTGCGCTTTGACACACGGCAAACGTGGAAAGACTACTCGCCCCCTCGCAAAATACCGCTGCCAGCGAAAAGAAAAAGCCTTCCGGCACATCTGCTTCTGCTTCTGGCAGCAAGGAGCGTGCGGTGGCGCTCTGGGGCTATTTAATACTCCACACGCTTTTATACCATAGTGAATAGGTTTACCTCGCTCCTTACCCTTAATCTCCCACATCTCTCTTCCAGCACCCCTCACTCCCCCTCGTGACTTGATTTATTGTTTTATTTTGGGGTGTTTTAACATAATTTTAAAAGAAGAGTGTCAGCATGTTGCAGCAGAGCTTGCTAGGGGATAAAAATAAGGCACCTGGATAAATAAAACCAGAAATCAATCGAAGTGTGTTTTGAATCAGTAGTAAGTATATAAGGCTGTTTCTGATCATCCGGTCCTTTATGAGGCGAGCCTGATTTCAGTCTTATGCTTTGCTTGTTTTTCTTCTGCTCTGACAATAAGATGGGTCTTTCTCCAGATTCAGATAGTTTCTGAGCTCTGGATGGTGAAGCCCTTGAACTAAATGGAATAAAATAAAATGCAGAAACTCTTCTCACTGCAGCCACAAGACAACAACGGTTCAAAGCTGTTTGTTTTCAACCAACTTCAATGTGGCATCTTAGCTGATGAGTTCTGCCAGTTTGGTAATCACGGCTTTCTTAAGGGCAACTAGCGTGTGGGAGTTCAGGAATCAGGAGTTCAGTAAACTTGTCCTTGCACTGCAAGGATGCTTAGAATTAGAGAAAGAAAATGTGCTGGGATCCAGCAGTGTCCGTGAGGGGTTTTGAATGTTCATGCAAGGGAGCTGTAAAGAAAGGGTGTTCCTTGATATTTAAAGTTATGCTGCCCTACAGTGCTTATGTTGTGAGAATGAATGTGCAGGGAGCAGCATAAGGAACCATGGTTGCTAAAATGTATCATTAATAAAAAATAATGGAATATGTTTTGAGATGCAGATTAAATTCAGAGAAATGCTGTATATGTAATAATTAGATACTTTGAAAATCACACCTCCTGTGTAGGCAATACAGCTCCTTTGTCTGTGCTTGACAGTTAAAAATGCTTGGCATTTCGTATGTGGAATAGGTTTTTAAAGCATGCTTTTATATCAGGTGCTTTTCAAGAGTGTAATGGTGCTTATATATTTTTTAGGAAATGTCAACTTACTGCTTTGGCAGGAAATTTATTTATTATAGAAAGTGGAAAAGCTTTTCTTCTGTTACAGACAGCTGTGAATGACACGAACACAGGAGTGGTAACATTTCCTGATGAGTGTGTTAACATACTAAGTGGGGAGCACAGGAATGGAGTCTGGCATGGAGGAGATCCCAGTTAAAGTCGCAGTTCGAATCAGACCTCTGCTTTCCAAAGAAGTACTTCATAACCATCAAGTGTGTGTGAGATTAGTCCCAAATACACAACAGATTATCATTGGGAAGGACCGTGTCTTCACTTTTGATTTTGTATTTGGCAAAAACTCAACCCAAGAAGAAGTTTACACTATTTGCATTAAGCCTCTTCTAGTGTCATTGACTGAAGGATACAATGCTACAGTGTTCGCATATGGACAGACAGGCTCTGGGAAGACTTACACTATTGGAGGTGGCCACATTGGTAGGTTGTAGAAAGTTTTCCTTTTCACTGGTGAACAGTGTAGTTGTGCAATGTAAATATAAAATAAATAGGAGATGATGCTGCAAAATTTTAGGTATAATAAAAAAAAGGTAGAATAAAAAAACAAATGTTTCCAATATTCATTTGATAATTAAGCTATTCTAAAAACCAATTTCCCCATAAATTAGGCTTATCTAAGAAAAAAAATAAAGTGCTTTGGCTCACTGCCCATTTTTAACATGCAGCTTAAACTAGAATTTCTTCCTGAAATGCAGTGTTTTGGAGATCCTATGAAAACACCTGCTTTAAGTAAGCAATTGTTTACTTTCTCAATCTGTTTTTTGGTTTTGTTTTCTTTAAGAAGTTTCTATAACAACACATAAATATATGATTTAAGTCTTTCAAATGGATATAAATAAACGATTCTAAATATCTTGGTAGTTATTAAAATCTTCCTTTTATTTAGAATCATAGAATTATTTAGGTTAGGAAAGACCCTTAAGGTTATCAAGTTCAACCACTAGCATAGCATCACCAAGCTCACCACTAAACCATAGCCCAAAGCACTACATTTACACCTCTTTTAAATATCTCCAGGGATGGTGACCCAGTCACTTCTCTGGGCAGCCTGTTCCAATGCCCTATCATCCTTTTGATAAAGACTTGTTTCCTAATATCCAGTCTAAACCTCCCCTGGTGCAGCTTGAGGCCATTTCCTCTCGTCCTGTCACTTGTTACTTGGGAAAAGAGTCCAGACCCCACTTCATTGCAACCTCCTTTCAGGTAGTTGTAGAGAGCAATAAGGTCTCCCTGAGCCTTCTCTTTTCCAGATTAAACAATCCCAGTTCCCTCAGGCAATCATAATGAGTATGAATAAAGAAGCAGTCTTTTAAAGTAGACTGCATATTTCTCATAACTTTCATGACTATAACATTATGTAATTTAGAACTTAACTATGAATCCTATTGATGGATGCAAGCAAATATTCTGAACCTCATAAGATCAGATATTTACAAAAATCCTTAGGAACACTGAGCTTTTCAGGTTCCTCACTATTTTGAGTAGCAAATGTTACAGACTTCTCTCAATCTTCAGTCTTTTATGATTTATGTGGCAAAATGACTGCAAGCCCCTGTGACATCTTTGCTTATATTTTAGCATCAGTTGCAGAGGCTGAAGAGGGCATAATCCCACGGGCTATTCAGGAATTATTTCAGCATATTTCTGAAAACCGTAACATTGATTTCCATGTGAAAGTGTCTTATATAGAGGTTTACAAGGAAGAACTTCGAGATTTACTGGATTTGGAGACCTCTGTAAAAGAACTACATATCCGAGAAGATGAAAAGGGAAATACAGGTAGGATTTCAGCTCTAAAATTTGGTGTGTTGGGCTTCAGACATGTGCCCAAGTTATTCTTGCCTTCTCTTGAAAGAGCTTATTCATTACTAGTATTAGAAAAACATTATTTTCAGTGTATAAACTCGGTTTAGCTGATTTGGAGCAATTTGGGGCTTTCGATGCCTGTGAACAATATATATGTTTGATCAGAAATGGCAACAAATTATAAAATAGCAATACAGTATTGCTTCTGCAGATTCTGTCTATAAACACAATAGTGTGTGATTATTTGCTTGAGTAAGTATTTTACAGTTAAAACTTTGCTTCTTACTTCAAAATTATAATTGTTAAGCTGCTTATACTCTAAATATCAGCCCTCCCTTTCACTAAGAAATGAGTGGAAGACAGCAATTCATTGAGACTAGCATCTGGTATTTTCTTGAAATTTTGAAATTAACACTTATCCTGTAGTTCTTCTGTCCACCACATGAAAATGCTAGAAAAACCCACAACGGAGAGATTTTATTCTGAAACTGTATAAGGGGTTTTGCCTGTTTCTGCATGTCATTCCCCACACACACACACTTATTCTTTATATTCTAATTGTTGTTTGCTCTATTAGTATCAATATATTGTTGTATTGAGCTGGCATGGCTTTCTTATCTGTGGCTGGAAGCAGGCACTAATTTAGCATAAATCTTGTGGACAATATCATTGCTTCATACGGATTCCAAAGTATATAATATATTTTAAATTGTTTCTCTTCTTCAGTACAGTTGGAGTCAGCTTCAGTAGGTTTTCCATCCTTCATTAAAACAACAGACATAAAATATGCTTGGTGGAGTACTTGGTAAAAGTGTGCTTCCACATTATTGGATTAATAATAGATAACTGTCCAAAAGGCCCAACTACACAAGCTACATAGAAATTCTGTTCTTACCATAGTCTAGGAATCATTTCTACTACATATTTGTTTATTTTTAGTCTTGATTTTGTTTTCTTTTGTTTTTAAACTAGGAAAATATCCTTTGAGCTGATTTTGCTCATGCTTTTCCTAGATAGCACTAGACTGCAAATTGCATATGGATATGGCAGTGTGTGAGCAAAGCTGTGTATTGTGTGACACAATATGTCCATACATAAATATTTGCAGGTTTCAGATGTGTTGTACCTTATGCTTTTCACATGTTGTCTTATTTTTCCATACCTATATGCTGTAACCTCATAATAATGCAGGCTTGTAGGTTTCCCTAATATGTGTGTATAGTTTGAGCTTTCCTAACTGCTGTAAAATATTGCTGAGGAGTTTAAAATTAATCGAATTATTCTAACTTACTTTGGTTTGGTGTTTGAAGTGATTGTTGGTGCTAAGGAATTCCAAGTACAATGTGCAGATGAAGTTATGAGCCTGTTGGAAAACGGCAATGCAGCTCGTCACACAGGAACAACACAAATGAATGAGCACTCTAGTCGATCTCATGCCATTTTTACCATCAATATTTGTCAGAAATGGTCTACAGAGTCTCACAAAAGTACTGATGCTGCCCAGAATTCATCTTGGAAATCAGCTGAGATGATCGCTTCGAAGTTTCATTTTGTGGATTTGGCAGGATCAGAGAGGGTGACAAAGACTGGAAATACTGGTGAACGCTTCAAAGAATCAGTTCAGATAAATAGTGGTCTGTTAGCCTTGGGAAATGTCATCAGTGCCCTTGGAGACCCAAAAAGAAAAAGTGTACATGTTCCATACAGGGATGCTAAAATAACTCGTATTTTGAAAGACTCACTTGGAGGAAATGCCAGGACTGTCATGATAACATGTATAAGTCCATCCTCATCAGACTTTGATGAATCTTTAAATTCCCTCAAATATGCCAACAGAGCCAAAAACATTAGAAATAAGCCAGTTGTAAATTACAACCCTGATCAAGACCGGATTGATGAAATGGAACTTGAAATCAGATTGCTTCGAGAAGCTTTGCAGAACCAGCAAGTCAATAATCAGTGTTCGCATGACTTAAATCAAGAAAAAAATCATATCAGTTCACTTGAAGAGCAGCTCACTCAGCTTCAGGTTCAATATTTCAGTTACAGAACTTGTGTGGATGAAGCCTTCCCATTTCTGGTTGATTTGAATGATAATATTAGTTTAAAAAGAAGTCAGCGGGACAGGTTGCAGAGCTGGATCACTATGGTACAGGAAGTGAGGAAGGGAGATCTCATAATGCAGGAAGCTGACACAGGAACTGAGACCAGCCAAATGCCACATCATACCACAATTCTTCAGCTAAAGCAGGAACTAAAGAAATGCCAGGTATTTAATTAAAAGTTGATAATTTAATGTAATGGGTTTAAACTTAAACAGGGGAAGGTCAGGTTAGATATAAGGAAGAAGCTCTTTACTGTGAGGGTGGTAAGGCACTGGAACAGGTTGCCCAAGAAATGCTAAATCACAGTATCACAGTATGTTAGAGATTGGAAGGGACCTCAAAAGATCATCTAGTCCAATCCCCCTGCCGGAGCAGGAACACCTAGATGAGGTTACACAGGAACGTGTCCAGGCGGGTCTTGAATGTCTCCAAAGAAGGAGATTCCACAACCTCCCTGGGCAGCCTGTTCCAGTGTTCCGTCACCCTCACTGAGAAGAAGTTTCTTCTCAGGTTTAAGTGGAACCTCTTGTGTTCCAATTTATACCCATTTCCCCTTGTCCTTTCATTGTTTGCCACTGAGAAGAGCCTGGCTCCATCCTCGTGACACTCCCCCTTTATATATTTATATACACTAATAAGGTCACCCCTCAATCTCCTCTTCTCCAAACTATAGAGACCCAGCTCCCTCAGTCTTTCCTCATAAGGGAGATGCTCCACTCCCTTAATCATCTTAGTTGCCCTAATGCTAAATGCTAAATGCTCCATCCCTGGCAGTGTTCAAGGCCAGGTTGGACAGAGCCTTGGATGACAGTCTAGTGTGAATCATCCATGCCCATGGCAGGGGATTGGAACTGGATCCTAAGGTCCTTTCCAGCTCTAACCATTTTAAGTTTTAGCAGACTGCTAAGTATTTAAGTAACTATGTGAAAGAGGAGTCTGCTAAAACTTGAATTCAATTTTCAAAGTTGTAAACTGTTACACTTACTTGTACTTAATTTGACAACTTACGTTTCATTCACAATCTTGTATAATTTTGTTTGTCTAATCCCTGCAAAACAGCTTTATCTTAACGGGTGATTGAATAGAAAATCATTTAATTATTATAGAAATAAGTAACATTATATTTTGGCTAGTCAGTTTTAGGATGATTCTGAGGCTGAGCTGTTTCATCTGCTAGATTTTTGTATTTAGGCCTGGCTGGGATGGAGTTAATTCTTCATAGCAGGTTGTTGTGTGCTGTGTTTTGGGTTTGTGGCCAATACAATGCTCGGTGAACAGTGTTTGTGCAGTGTCAAGGCTGTGTGCTTCTCCCTTTGCCACTCCAGTGAATAGATTGGGGGTGCAGAAAAGGTTTGAGCACACACGTCTAAGCAAATGACTCAAACTAACCAAAGAGATGTTTCATGCCATACAACATCATGCTCAGCAATTAAAAGAGGAGGTTTAGGGAGGTTTGCCATGTTTCATCTGGGAACTGGCTGGGCATCAGTTACACCTGGGAGGTGGTGGGTGACTGTCTTTGCATCAGTTGGTTTGTTTTATTTTCTTTCCCTCGTCTTCCACTTCACCTTTACTTACTGAACAATTTCTATCTCAACCCACATTTTTTTTTTTGTGCTCTTCCTTTGCTCTTCCCATGTCCCACTGAGGTTGGGGGTGGAAGGGGATTGGGTGAGCAGCAGTATGTGCAGAGCTGCCTGCTGGGGTTAGCTCCCAACCTTTTGGTGCCTGATATGTGGTCTTCAAAATAATGACAAATTTAATTAGATTGTACTAGATTAAACTTCTAGCTATTATACCTGATTAGTTAAGTTCTCATTTGAGTGAGTGCTGCATATCATGATGCTGGCATATTTGCTTTAGGTAAATATGCTGGCTTACTATTTTCCAGTTTTGCCATTTAGTGTGTTGTTTATCACTTTGCTTTCCTTTCCTTAGGAGAGCTATGATAAAACCACCAGCCTTCAATCTAATCTGGTATTTGGGTTTTACATAGCTATGATAAAACCACCAGCCTTCAATCTATTCTGGTATTTGGGTCTTACATAGGTATGATAAAACCACCAGCCTTCAGTCTTATCTGGTATTTGGGTCTTAGCTTATGTCCCAGTATTCCAAGAACCATCTTGTAGACAAAACCAACAACGATAATCTCCCCCGCCCCCTTTTTTTTTTTTCTCAGAGAGACATTGTGTGGCAGGAGGAAAGAATGGCACCTCTCTATTCCTCTCTCCAGGATAGGTTTTTATAGCCTTGATGTAATGGCTTCTCAGTTCCTTCAATATTCTTATGTAATCAGACTGTTCACACTGGTGCATGTTTTGTCATCCTGATTTTGATTATTGTTCATAAGGTTAAACAAATAATTGTGGGTGCCACAGAGGAATATGCTCTAAGGTGACTAATCCCTGGTGTGACAGGGTGTATGGGACGAGTTAGGCAGGTGTGTAGGGCTGTTACTGACTTTGACACCTTGGGATTTCAAGCTGAACAGGCTTGTAAATCCATCAAACTAATACACCATTTGAAGGAGAGCAAGTGAAACACAAAAACCCCCAAAGTTGTACTGAGACCTGGTGTTTGCCTATCAAGCCACCATCCAGTGCCATCAGAGATGCAAGAGTTCTTCCCTATATAAGAGCCCACAAATGGGAATGAGGTCTCTTGCTCTGAGGCCACGCAAATGGGCACTAAACCAGAGACTGAACTCTCAACTGTAATAGTTGCTTCTGTAGTCAAGAAGAAGCAGTGGAAGCAGAAGTCAACTCAGTAAGAGAAGACCAGCTCCTCCTGAGAGAGGGAGAATCAGAAGAGGCAGTCTATTCTATAGCAGGACAGGGGAGCAAAGAGAGAAATCATTAAGAGTTGGAAACTACCCAGTCCCTATCCATGACCAAGCTGCAAGATAGGTGGAAAGATTTTGTCTGTGAGCAAGATGAACAAATTGCTACCTGGTTGCTCCAGTGCTGGGATACTAGGGCTAACAGCATGGAACTAGAAGGTAGCAAGGCATAGCAGCTGGGCTTCATGGCTAGGGACTGTGGGATTGACAGAATGATTGGAAGAGGAGCAGCCACCCACAGCCTTCAGAGATGGCTCTTATTAATACCAGGTTCCCTCTTAAGGAAGACTTTGTAATCCAGTAAGGCTAGTGGACTACCACAGAGGAAGGTACCCAGTGTCTTGAGGGAATTAGCAGTGGTGAAGGTAGTTGACAGTGATATGGACAATAATCAGATGCCCTGGAATGGCATACAGTGAACACAGTCTGTGCAGCAGAAGTATGTACAGGGTGCACAGATGTCATGCGTCAGCAAACTAGCCAAGATGGATTGGGCTCACATTGAGGTGCCAACTTTGTACAGACTGGTCTGGCAGCTCCAGTGATTTAAAGACAATCTCTGTTCCCCCTACCTGCTCTTGATCTGCATCTCAACTGCAGAAAGACTGTTCAACAAGGTCCAGCAACTCTAAGAGAATGTGGATAGTCTCCCTCTTTGCCCCTGCAGGCCAGCATTCCAGCTACTGCAACTTGGCCTTTCTCTGCTCAAAGGAAAGGGAACCATAGACACACACCACGTGCCACCCTGTGGTTCTCTTTGTGATTGTGGGGACGATATGAGGAAGTAGGAGGGTGCACCTACCTTGGTTATGAAAGTCTGTGTACAGGAGCTGTGGGGATACTTAGCATGCAGATATCCCATGAGGATCCTGTCATGCTGGTAGCTCGAATGAGCTAGTGCCAGACAACAACCTAGGGGGAGAAGAGCTCTCAGCTTTCTCAAGCATGATAATTTCTCCTCACAGAACTGACACACCCAATACAACTGAGCAAATATATTCTGATTTTAGTTAGGTATGTTTAATGCAACATGGACAATATGCCACTTAGTTTTCTGTCTCTTCATCCTGCCCCACTCTGTCACTATGCTGACATATGTGCTAGCTTCTTTTTTTCTATAGTTGGCTCAACTCTGCATAATGATGCAGCACCTGTAGGGAACAGGATACACTTGTCAACTATGGTTAGTAGAAACATTTGCATAGGTACACAGAGTTGGGAAAAAGTTCTATTCTCTAAAGATATCAGGTTCTTGAGTGCATTCTTAAACGCTGTTCAGAGTTGTATTTTCTTGAAAGAAAGATGTAGAACATGAAGACAATGATGTTTCCATATTTCATATGGGTTCTACAGGCTTTCTGGGAGATTAGTGTTTGAAAGTCTCCTTTGATTAGTATTAGATTATTTATTCACAAGAACACCTGAAGAAGCATTCTTAAGGTTTCTTTAATCTGTAGGCTGTTATCCAAGTTGCAGAATGAGGGCAGCTGTCCTTATTTTTTTCATCTAAGAAGCATTATTAATCTAATGGTTGATGCTGAGATCTTGTGGCTACGTGTCACAGCCCCCTAAAGAGAATAATTGGATTTAGATATTTACCTTCAGTAAAGTAGGCTTGGTTATGGGTACATTATTCTCAAGAAAGAAACTTTTCAGAAGAAAATCAATAGTCCCTTTTTCCCCAGCTGAACTTGTATTTTATTATGTAGCAGGCTCTCGTTATGGATGAAGAAGTATTTACCCAGAAGAATCATGAACTGCAGATAATGCAGAATCAGATAAAGACATTATTACAGGAAAATGAAAAACAACTGGAATCTTTAAAGGAGGCTCAAGAAACTCATAGATTACAGGTATTTTTCCTCTGGTACACATTACCTGTATCTGTATTGAACAATTCTTCCATGTATGAATGCATTCATTATTTCAAGATAAGTCCCTAAGACTTTTTTTGGACTTAACTACCTGTCAATCTTATGGGCGTTTTGTTTGAGTTAGAGCTGTATCACTTAATGAGTCGAGTTTATCTACTGGATGAAGCACAATATTGTGATAGTTTGAGTATCATCCTACCTGTGTCACAACCTTCCTGTATAACATGAGGTGAATTATTTACTCTCTCCTTGCTTCCTAAACACATCCCTCTCTCCCCAGATGTGTGTTATTGCTAAGTAGTTTCAAGACAATTAATGAATTAGGATTTTAAAGACCTTCACATATTCTTCTGAATAAAAAAAGAGACTGTAAAGATCCTGTAGGGGGGTTGGTTTGTGATCTTCAAAGTTCCTTCCAATCCAAAGCATTCTGTGACTCGATTCTAAGAGGCTGCTTGGACCCTAAAAGTGCCTGTCTCGATCCTAATCATATTTTGTTATAGCTTTATTAAGGATTAGAGTGTTATTCCCTTTTGACTTTATTAGGCAGAATTTAATCCAAATTTTCTGAACACTTACTATTAAAGAAAACTGAATGACACAATAGAAACACTGCTTACTTTCTTCCTTCTCTAGCTTGCTAGTGAGATTATGATGGGTAGGAAATGTATAACATTTCAAGATCCAGGAGACTGTAAAAAGAATAGTTAACAGCCTCCTGGTGTTACCTGTCATGTCGCTGATAGATAAATTGTCTGACTTTTTAAAAGAGAAAAGCATGGCTAGCTAGTACTCTGCTCCTTATTCTTTTTCTCATTTTTCCTCTTCTTTGCTGATGGCTTGAGGAGAGTCAATGAATGAAAGGTAAGTATACTAGTCATCATCTTTTTCTTTCCTCTGTCACTTTCTGTCACCTCTGGGTGTTTTTTTTGTTTGTTTTGTTTTGTTTTTTGTTTGTTTGTTTGGTTTGGGGTTTTTTTGTTTTGTTTTGTTTGTGTTTGTTTTGTTTAATTTGTTTTGGTTTTGGTTTTGTTGGTTTTGGGTTTGGTTTTTTTTCAACCTGTACACCATAGTCTCAATTGATTACACTGAGATAGTACTTAGATAAATTCTGGAAGATACAAGGTAGGGGTAATGAACAGAAACAGTCACAGTGTAGGTAAAAGATCATGATTGTTTCTGTTTCAGAAACAGAAGAGAAGCCTGAGAACTCTCAGGCACTGTTTTGGTACTTAGTCCGCTAAACTGCCCCTTTTGTTTAAAAACAGATAAAATAGGTAGAATAATGAAAGGCAAACACTTCTGTCAAATATTTAAAGTTGTATTCACAGGAATATGCACCCTAGTGATACATGGTAGAAGAAACTTTAGCAGGTACTAGGTAGTTCTTAACGCTTATACACAGACGTATTTACGTAACAGGTGTTACATGTCCACTGTTGTATATACGCTGTGGGGTTGTATGTACAAGGATACCAGGGATGAAGAGTCCTAAAAACGTTAAATAGTAGCTTCAAGGTGGATCAGTTGGCTCTTACTGCTCCCAAAATCATAAAAAATATGGTAGACCCATTTTCAAGAAGGGGAAAATGGATGACCCGGGGAATTACAGATTGGTCAGTCTCACCTCTGTGCCTGGCAAAATCTTCGAGCAGATTCTCCTGGAAGGCATGCTAAGGCACATGAAAAACAACAAGGTGCTTGGTGACAGCCATCACGGCTTCACTAAGGGGAAATCCTGCCTGACCAATTTGGTGGCCTTCTATGATGGGGCTACAGAACTGATGGACAGGGGTAGAGCAGTTGATGTCATCTACCTGGATTTGTGTAAAGCATTCAACACTGTCCCACATAACATTCTTGTCTGTAAATTGGAGAGATGTCAATTTGATGAATGGACCACTCAGTGGATAAAGAACTGGCTGGATGGCCGCACACGAAAGAGTTGTGGTCAATGGCTCAATGTCCAGCTGGAGACCAGTAACAAGTGGTGTCCCTCAGGAATTGGTGTTGGGACAGGTCTTGTTTGACATTTTTATCAGTGACATGGAGAGTGGGATTGAGTGCGCCCTCAGCAAGTTTGCTGATGACACCAAGCTGTGTGGTTCGGTTGATACGCTGGAGGGAAGGAATGCCATCCAGAGGGACCTTGACATGCTTGTGACGTGGGCTGATGCCAACCTTATGAGGTTTAACCATGACAAGTGCAAGGTCCTACACCTGGGTCGGAGCAATCCCAGGCACAGCTACAGGCTGGGCAGAGAAGAGATTCAGAGCAGCCCTGCAGAGAAGGACTTGGGGGTGTTGGTCGATGAGAAAATGAACATGAGCCAGCTTCAGTGTGCGCTTGCAGCTCAGAAAGCCAACTGTATCCTGTGCTGCATCAAAAGGAGTGTGACCAGCAGGTCGAAGGAGGTGATCCTGCCCCTCTACCTCTGCTCTTGTGAGACCTAACTTGGAGTACTGTGTGCAGTTCTGGTGTCCTCAACACGAAAAGGACATGGAACTGTTGGAACAAGTCCAGAGGAGGGCCACAAGAATGATCAGTGGACTGGAGCACCTCCCATATGAAGACAGGCAGAGAAAGTTGGGGCTGTTCAGTCTGGAGAAGAGAAGGCTGCGTGGATTCCTCATAGCAGCCTTCCAGTACCTGAAGGGGGCCTATGGGGATGCTGGGGAGGGACTCTTCATTAGGGACTGTAGTGATAGGACAAGGGGTAATGGGTTAAAACTTAAATAGGGAAGTTTAGATTGGATATAAGGAGGAAATTCTTTCCTGTTAGGGTGGTGAGGTACTGGAATAGGTTGCCCAAGGAGGTTGTGAATGCTCCATCCCTGGCAGTGTTCAAGGCCAGGTTGAACGAGGCCTTGGGTGATATGGTTTAGAGCAAGGTGTCCCTGCCCATGGCAGAGGGGTGGAACTTGATGATCTTAAGGTCCTTTCCAACCCTAACTATTCTATGATTCTATGATTCATATATCTATACTGCTTCTTATGACATAGGAATATTATGTATTTCAATAAAATGTCAGTTTGCAAGGCATTGTCTGTATATGTTTGGAAGGAACCTCCAGTTTAAGAAAACGAGATATAAAGAATGAATAAAAATGTATTATTCAAAGGAGGAGAGTGCGAAGTATCTTTCATTGAATACTTCTGGTTGACTATCACTAGCTATTCTTCAAGTTTCCTGTTGTTACTAGGCCAGATGTAAAGGTACTTTGAAAAGAACTGAAAGGAAGAGAGGGAGTTGAAAATAAATATAATCCTGACCTTATGGATGAATCAGTTTAGGTAAGATAAGTACTTATGAAAAATGTAAACAGACTGCTGCTGGAGAAGCAGATAGGTAAGTCCTTCCAACTAGTATTATCAACAGTGTTGGGGCTCGGTGGAAGCTAAAAGAAGTAGCCTGGGATGATTTTAATGTTTAATGGAAATAATCTTTGAAGGGGAGCTGCTCAAAGAGGAAGCCTGTATACATGTTTAATTAGACTCAGATCACGTGTTTCATTTGAACATTTTTGTTGATTTCCCATTTTATTTCTCCATAAATACATGTATAAAGTAAGCACATGCTGGTACGTATGTCATCATCTTCCCACTAGATGCCTACATAAACTAATGTGACTTATCTTGGATAGATCTTTCTGGACAAAAATGTGTCTAATATATATCAAAGTTGAGGGGTGTGTGTTAGATTGATGATAATGTGATAGAATTTTCAGTTTGTTGCAAAGTTTACCTGTTCACTGCAGAAGAATTTCAGATCAGTGAGTGATATACAAGATTCATGACCATTGTAAGGAATTTCTAGGTGGTGGATGTGACATAAAGCTCATGATCAGCAACAGCTTTGCTTTGTTTTTTTTTCCATATGAGAATGAGAAAATGGTGGAACAGCAAATGCTTATTGATCAGCTAAAAGAGAAATTGGAGAAATTTACAGATGTGAAAACTTCGGACTTCTCAAGGGCAAGCAGACCATACAGTGTCCCACTCACAAAGAGTCTGCTACATTCTCTTCAGCCACCTTCAGGGACAGAGAGCCAAAAGGTAAGGTCTATCTGAATGTTACTTTTTTTTCCATTTACTTTGCAATGGTTATAGTTCTGTAGTTAGAATTGACATGACAATTTATGGTGGCTTTCTCACATGATGTTTAGCTTCCCACTGAAGACTCTGAAAAATTATTTTTTAATGCCTTGCAACATATGCTGTGCCACAGTTGTCCAAAATTTTTGGGCTTAAAATTATTACATGTGCTAAAGCTGGAGCCTTTTTTGGTGTTTTCCTTCAGATTTTGAGCATGACAGAAAATGAATTATTCTTACTGATCATAGAACTGTAGAATCATAGAATAGTTAGGGTTGGAAAGCACCTAAAGATCATATAGTTCCAACCCCCCTGCCATGGGCAGGGACATCTCCCACTAAACCAAGTCACCTAAGGCTCTATCCTGCCTGTCCTTGAACACTTACAGGGATGGAGCATTCACAGCTGTCGACGCAGGAGTCACGGACAACGCAGGGATGATCAATGTGATCAACGAATGCCAATTTATCATGAAGCTTTAACTCCTTATATACAATTTCTTACAGGCACTTACAGTGATTTGGCATATTATGATTGGATACATGTCTTGAAGACCCTTAGCGACTAACACATAATTGGTTAAGCACAGGTGTGAGAACTTCACCTCGAAAGCTTGCCAACAGCCCACAGTTCTCGTAACTCTGAATTACAGCTTCTTCTTACCTTGCTTGCTTAAGCTTCCTCAGGCCTCTCATGGCCTTGCTGTATCTTTCAGGATTACTCACAGTTTATGTACCAGTTATCCATTCTCCTGTGAGAACACTTGTCTCCACACACAGCTTCCCTGGGCAACCTATTCCAGTGCCTCACCACCCTCACAGTAAAGAACTTCCTCCTTATATCCAATCTAAACTTCCCCTGTGTAAGCTTGAACCCATTACCCCTTGTCCTATCACTATAGTCGCTAATGAAGGTCCCTCTACGGCATCCTTATAAGCCCCCTTCAGATACTGGAAGGCTGCTATGAGGTCTCCACACAGCCTTCTCTTCTCCAGGCTGAACAGCCCCAACTTTCTCTGCCTATCTTTATATGGGAGGTGCTCCAGTCCCCTGACCATCCTCGTGGCCCTCCTCATATATTACAGTAGATAATGAGTTGCTAATAGTGCCTTCCTTCACATTTGGAACAAGTGCTCTAAGCAAAACCTTTTGTTACAAAGCTACCCAGAGGTATTACAGAAAACCTCTGTAATTTTGCTTACAAGCTCAAGTGATGACAGACTTTTAAACTGAGTTTTTGTTTTGTGTGTGTTTTTTTTTTGTTTGTTTGTTTAATATCAGTAAAGAATTGATAAACTGTTGCAAGTGTTTTTACCTGTCACTTTGTGTGTGCTCTTGACAGGTGTATACAAGCTCCCCTGCCTTCTCCCTGGCCCGGGTAATGGCAAAATTCCGTGCTCGCAGCCAGATGACACTGAGCCACATAGAAGATCAGGATAAAGTCCTTCACTGTCATCTCTCTGACCAAAGTGATGAAGAGGATGAAAATACAGGCAGCAAAAAGAAAACCTCATTTAAGTAATTTTTTTATATTCTTTTTTTTTGTTGTTATAGACAAATGTATAACAAAAGTAGTATTACTCCCTAATCCTGCCATAATTTAACATCGTTTGTGATCTTTTTATGGTAAATTTAGGGGACCAACAGGGCATCTTTAAACTATTTTTTAAACTAAAATAAGTTTAATAAACATCTTTTTTGTGATTTAACAAAGATTGCATAATCTTGGTTTGAGGGCTAGAATCTATGGTAGAGATCAGGGCAGATGGGGAAGTGGAGAGTAGATGAGAGAGAAGGTACAAATGCTTATGTGAATTTGGGATTCTTCTCTGTTACAATGACATACTTGGAAGCTCTAAAAAAAAATACTCCCTGCATGTTTGGAATATAGCATGTTTTTCATTCTTCCCTAGGCATTCCATAAACCGAACATGGACACGAAAACAGGCTTCTTTGTGTTTTCTTCCTGATCTAAGTGACATGAAGTGTCAGGTAGACAAGTCTTGTTTATCCAACAAATCTGCTCTACACAGTGACACAACCACAGGTAAAATGGAAGTCATGAGAGCAAATCTGACTGTGTCAGAATACACAAGAATGTCTTCAGCATACATAATTATTTTTCCCAGCAAAATACGTGTATTTGATACAGGTATTTTTTTTGTTAATAGATCAGTCTGGGCTTTGAGATTCTCTGCTTCTTTTTCCCCTTTCTGAAACTCATATTAGTGTCCTTAATGTTTAAGTAATACTTATTAGCTAGAAAACATACATCAAAAGCTGTTTAGATACGAATCTTCAGCACTGCTTCAATAAAAGAAAATAGATGCTATTATCAGAGATGGACTGAAATGGTTTTAGGAATATTTTTCCTCCCACTTAGGGTCTTGAAACACTAGTGCATACCATTCTTTCTTTTACTGTTTGCATGGCAGGGAAAAGATTCCTTGTGCTATTCTCTCTTTTTGGTTCTTTTATTTCATGTGGCCGAATTCCACACACACAGTGCAGGGCACTATATTTTGGATACAGAGCATATTCCAGATTTTTTATCACTATATTGCTCTGTTTTCTTTCAAGGTGAAGAGATTGACAGCCTCCAAAAAAGTCACGTTTTTAACATGCAGAAGTTAAAGAGTTCAGAGTTGAGATTCACTGAGGCTGAGCAAAAAATAAGAGAACTTGCACTTAATATCAAAATGAAAGAGGAACTTATTAAGGAATTAGCAAGAACAGGTAAGTAGCTACTGTAGGAAAAATAAGAATGAAGAAGTTCAGGAAAAAAAGAGAAACCACAAAACTTTGGTAGTCCTGTTTTAGTTTTTATGTAATTATCTTATGCAAGAATACTTTTAATAAAGGTTCATAACTTTCATTAATTATTTGCTATGATTGCACTGAAGGCTGCAAATTTTGATTACAGTCAACTCTGCTATGATACACAAATGAAATTGTTATTTTTTTTTGTGCTTGGCTGATTTTTGCTTTTATCCACCAATCATCTATTTTTTTATGTATGCTTAGTGCTACTGATCTGTTTGTGGACATGTATTTGTCACATGGTGTCTGGGATAGGAGAGAAGATACATCACTGTGCTGCGAATGTAAACATTCCCAGCGCTGCAGTAGAGAAGCAGGAGTCAGAAGTGGATGAGGGAAAAGGTCAGTGTCCCTGTTAGCCTACACCCTTATACATCTGTCCTGGTATGTATATACCTATATGCCTGCCAGAAACTAGCCTTATTATGACTGTAAGGGTCTTTTTGCTCAGCCCCTTCAATCACACTCTTCTCCTGTGCATACCTTCTCTTGAGGTTGTCTTTTGGCACTGAGAAAGATTGTGTGCCCGGCCCCCCCCCCCCAATAGTACTGTGGAAAGATAACACAAACAGGGCAAGTAAGAGGGCAGAAACACAATCCAAAGCTGTTTACTAATTATTAAGAGGATAGCTGAGTAACAAATAAACAGCATATTCTTCTGGAAAAAGCATAATTTATGAATCACGTGAGAGCTGTTTTCACAAAAAACTACAGTAGGAGGAAGAATTTCACTTTATTTGGCATTAAGGTGTCACTTTATTTGGTGACAAATGGTGACTCATAAAGAACTCAGTTTTAAGACTCTTTCCTTTATTTCAGAGTTATAAAGGAACTGTATGTTCCTTTAAGGTTGGAAATTATCTCAGAAATTATTGGTTTAGCCAGAATAAAGTAAGTAAGTAATACAACTACAGACTTAAGTATCACGTTTCAACTGATTATCCTGATGTTTTTAAACCATCTTGATATGATGTCTTTAAGGTAAGGATGCTCAGTCTGTAAGCAGGCAATGTTCTTTGAAGATAACTAAACTGGAACAAGAATCTGAGCAGGCCAAACTGGAACTGGCTGAAACGCAAAAGCAGCTTCAGGAGCTGGAGAGTAATAAGGAGCTGAGAGACACTCCTGAGAAAACAAAGTTACAAAAGGAATTCCGGAAGAAGATGGATGCAGCTAAGTTGAAAGTGCAGGTATGTCTGATCCAACCATTAAGGTTTGCAAATCCCTGCCTTGCTATCACTTTTGAAACTTAACACTCTGCTTGTAAAACTCTCACCAGTTTTACACACTGGAAGCTGATTGAAGTAGATAATGAGAAACTTAATACTATTATACACAGAATGCTATTTATGTTATCCACATATGTGGTTAGATACAGTATTTTCTTGATAGATAAGAAACCAAGAAAAAAGTGGGTAATATGAGATGCTCGTACACCATTGTGTGTAGGTACCACAAAATAACCTATACATGGAGACTATCACAAGGTTCTTACCTGCCATAAATAAAATCAAAGTTTTATGAAAGTACCGTATGAATTCCATCTCTAAGCAAATCACTGTGATGGTTTGCAAGACCAGGCCTAATACAGTCATCTTATATGGCACTGACCTTCTATTTTTAAGTTTTGTTATACCTAAGCTTAAGTTCTATGTATGGCCAGCTTAGGTATTCTGTGCTGCTTGGTCCTAGAATGGTGGGTTAGACAAACCCTATAAAGAAAGAGGTAGTTGGCTTATTGACTGGAGCTCAGGACCAGCATTCTGGCACCATTGTTTCTGCACATTTCCCACACCTCTGAGTTGTATTAGATTTTACTATTTCCATAGTATTGCCAGGCATGAACTGTATCTTTACCTTACCTTCTCATGTTGCTTGAGGTTAATTCTGGCTGTGCCAACTTTACCACATAGCTCAGAAACCAGAGAAATAGTGAATGATTGTTTGCACATAGGTTAGTAAGTCTTACTGACTCATAGGAATTTAGTTAAATAAAGAATGAAGTTGTGAGTAATATTGCACTTTTTCTACTATTAAGCTGAAATTTGTCATGAACTTTCAGGTCTTACAGAAGATGCAGGAAGACACTAAGAATTTGGCTTCGTTATCTAACCAAAGTGAAAGACAGGCAACAGAACTTGAGCAGAATGTGGCTCAGATGAAGCATCAGCAGACCCAGCTACAGAAGAGGTTGTGTGAGGAGAGTGAAAAAAAGAAGCAACTAGAAGCAGAGATTCAGCGGGACCAGCAACAAGTTAAAGTAGGATTCTTCCTGGTTCTTTGTCACAAAGAATGAGATGTGCCAGTTTTGACATTGCTTCCCTGAAGTCAATAAACTATACTGCTAGGCTTTCCAGTTTTAAGTAGCTACTTTCTTGACAAATGCACTTAAGAAATCGCTATAAACACTTAAACGGAAATCTTCAGTTTGCCTTTCTTTTCAGCTTTTTATTATTTATTACATGATATCTAGCTCTAAATTGCAATTTTACATGGAAATTTAGGGTCAGTATTTCAGATTATATACTTGTGTGGACTCTGACATTAAACACACTTTAAAAACAGACTAAGGCAGGAATAATGGGGCTTTGCTTTTCTTTATAGGAGCTTCAGCTAAAGATGGAGCAACAACAGAAGATCCTTCAACTTAAGGATAAAGAGATTGCTGCGTTTAAAAAGAAGAAAAATGATTCAGTGGAAACTTCACAGAAGCTACAGGTAGCTAATCTATTCCAAATCTGTGTAGGCCCTGAAAAAAACCCCAAACATTCTTTGTTCATCCCTAGTCATCTTTGTAAAGTATTCAGAAGAAGGGTATTCAATCATAGTTTGTCCTTTTTTTTTTGCTATAGCAAAAATTGGGAGTATAGTCTAGCAACTCTTTTACTCTTTTTGAATGAAGGAGAAGCTCTAATGTCTTTTCTTTCTCTGATTTGTCAAATATGCTGATTCAAAGACCTAAGAATTCAACAAATTTGTTTGTCTGGTAGGTTTGAGGGCGATCCTGATGAGCTCCATTAGAAATGTTCCATGGTTTGTTTAGGTTTTTTTATTTTCTCCTCTGACATACATGACAGAGGTCTATAGTTCTGGTAGTTCCTAACAGGATTAGAAAAATGTGTCTTGTGCATAATTTCATATGTGGACACTGGAACATGGTAGTTTCACGAGTTATCCAAAGTCTTTAAAGGTGAAAAGAAATTTAAGAAGTTAAATAAAGGCAACATTTTAGCCATACCAGGGACATATTCACTGATAAACTGTGGCTTGAGAATAAATTTATAACTGAGTGTGCTAGCAGAATCGGAGCTCTCATTTGCTGCCTTTCTTTCAATATCATAATTGCTTGTCATCATGTTTTTCCACAAATAGCTGGTCTTTGGTGTCTATAATGTAGTGAAGATGGGCTAACTGAATTCTTGTGATACCTTTCAAACCTAATTGCTGTGATTATGTGAAAGACATCTATTTATATAACTGTTCTTAGAAAAAGAATACATTTCATTAAAGACATGTGATACAAATTTGTTTATATGAGATGTAGCAATGTAGCATTTTTCATCCTCTTTTTAAGTCAGTCCAATTTCTATATTATTCTGAATCAAGACTGTTGCAGAATTAATGTTAACATTAGAAATGTAAATTTCTTCAGCAGTTCTATCAGTTATTCTGAAAAAGTTAAAACATAATCACCAAATTCTGACTCCAGAAGTCCTGGTTAATGTTCTCTGTATCTCCAATTAAACTAGAAATTAGAAGAGCAAAAGAAATGTCTGGATGAAGAAATTGAAAGAATTCTCCAACAGCACCAACAGTTAGCAGAACTAGAAGAAGATTTAAAGAAAAGAGAAGCCATTGTAGCCAAAAAAGAAGCATTACTGCAAGAGAAAAGCCACCTGGAAATGAAGAAACTGAGATCTAGCCAGGTGGTATAATAAAACCCATAAAACTCATGACAGTTATAGTGCTAACTGAAAGAATGGTGGGGGGAAGCCAGAAAGATAGCAGAGGAGGCTCAAGCCATGTGACCTGTGTCTCTGCTGTGAAATTATTCTGTAGTTTGAGCAGCTCAACATCTAAAATGTGAATAACATGGCATAATTATTATTCTCATTCTCTCCCCAAAATTCCAACAACAAAACAAAATTCCAACAACAAAACAGAACTGCGTTCTGTTATTGCACAGCATTAAAAAAATATGACATCTAAAAATGACTCAGTTCTTTTGCAAACTGGAGAACATGACAGTGAAACATTTTGTACTATTTATTTTGTGAATAGAAATTGATTTTGTGAATAGAAATTGAGGTATCATTGTCACTTATAAAGACTAGTCCCTTGAATTTTTAGTATGCAGACAACTGCACATTGTTTCTGTTTTCTTTCATCTTTTGAGTAAATAGTAAATTTTATGGTACCTGTCTACTCAAAATGGTCTTATGGTACCTGTCTCATTACAAGAAGCAGGTAAGTCTTTAATTGCAGAATGTGACAGTCTCACCTACAATTTTCTTACTGGAAGGAATATCTCAGTTCTGTATCTGTGGTTGCTGTGGGTTTTTTTTAGGCTTTAAACAAAGATAGTATGAAATTGTCTACTCGCTTAAGTATGCTGGATCAGGAACTGTGTGATAAAGGTATGCAGCTTCAGGGCAGCACCACTGAAGATAAGACACACATTTTGGAAAAAATTCAAGTTCTCCAGACAGAAAGAGATCAGCTGCTCAAAAGAAGAAAGAGTGTGGATGAGAAACTGAAAGATGGTAAAGTGTTGTCAACTGAGGTAAGTAAGCACCTCTGAGATCTCTGAGATAAATACTGGGTTTAGATAGCGTTGTGTAACAGAGCATTCTAATCAGAACCTAAAATGTCTCCAATTATTAGGTAAGCTTGAACCAAGGAACTGAGGTTGGGTACTTATGTAAATTGCAACATTAAAATACTGCCGTGATAGCACCACTTATGTACAAAGTTTATGGTCAGAGGGACCTAATTCAGCTAGTTCCTTGACAAATTCCAACGGCCTAAGGATCATATAATGAGGAATAAGGGAACTAGAAATTCATTGTTTTATCATAGGCAGATATTTTAATGTTAGGACACAGAACAAGGCAATGTACTTGCATAGAATCATAAAACCACAGAATAGTTAGGGTTGGAAAGGACCTTATCATCTAGTTCCAACCACCCTGCCATGGGCAGGGACACCTCACTCTAAACCATGTCACCCAAGGCTCTGTCCAACATGGCCTTTAACACCACCAGGGATGGAGCATTCACAACTTCGTTGGGCAACCCATTCCAGTGCCTCACCACACCAACAGTAAAGAACTTCTTCCTTATATCCAATCTAAACTTCCCTATTTAAGTTTTAACCTGTTACCCGTTGTCCTATCACTACAGTCCCTAATGAAGAGTCCATCCCCAGAATCCCTATAGCCCCCTTCAGATACTGGAAGGCTGCTATGAGGTCTCCATGCAGCCTTCTCTTCTCCAGGCTGAACAGCCCCAACTTTCTCAGCCTGTCTTCATATGCGAGGTGCTCCAGTCCCCTGATCGTCCTCGTGGCCCTCCTCTGGACTTGTTCCAACAGTTCCACGTCCTTTTTATGTTGAGGACACCAGAACTGCACACAATACTCCAAGTTAGGTCTCACAAGAGCAGAGGTAGAGGGGCAGGATCACCTCCTTCGACCTGCTGGTCACACTCCTTTTGATGCAGCCCAGGATACAGTTGGTGTTCTGGGCTGCGAGCACACACTGCCAGCTCATGTTCTTTTTCTCATTGACCAACACCCCCAAGTCCTTCTCCACAGGGCTTCTCTGAATCTCTTCTCTGCCCAACCTGTAGTTGTGCCTGGGATTGCTCCGACCCAGATGTAGGACCTTGCACTTGTCATGGTTAAACCTCATAAGGTTGGCATCAGCCCACCTCACAAGCATGTCAAGGTCCCTCTGGATGGCATTCCTTCCCTCCAGAGCAGCAATGCCCCTTGATTATGAAAAAGCAAACTTCACCTGAAAGCCTCCGTATTTTTGAAGCAAAAATAAGTCTTACTTTCCGAGTGGCCCACACTTGAATTGACCAGTGTAGTTACACTGCAGATATAATAAATTCATATCAAGTATGTAGATTATTTTTAGGTCTTGAGCAGCAGTACAGGCATATGGCTAAAGTGATAATGTGCTGGAAAGAACCCTATTTGCTTTACTCCTCAAAATCTCATGCAGTGCTTCAGGCCATGCAATTCTGCCACTTCCCTACAAAAGCTATATTCACCAAATTCCTTATTGACCTGATTCATTCATTAATCCAGCAGAAAACAAGCACAACCAGAAAAGAAATAATAGCAGAAGTTAAACTGTGGGGAGGATGAGGAAAGGATAAAAAGGGAAACATGACCTCTGTTTTTGTATTCAACCATTCAGTTGGTTCAGTATCATGGTAGGGGTACTATAGCAGCTGTTCCAGATTCCTACTCTACCTCTTATATTCCCCATCCCATTCTCTGTACTACTACTAGTTTATCTTGCCCTTCAGTTTAATTTCACTCTTGGGAATGAAATTAAAGATGTCTTATGTATAGAAAGAATAATTCTGCACTTTTTTCTTTAAATAAAAAAAAGCTCTTATGTGTTTCTCTGTAGGAAGAACATGTCCTTTTTCAGCTGGAAGAAGGAATTGAAGCCTTGGAGGCTGCTATTGATTATAAGAATGAATGTATTCAGAATCGCCAGCACTTGCTTAAGTCATCTTCTCAGATTCTTTCACAAAGTGAGAATAATGTAATAGGAAAGCTAGTTTCCCTTTCTGCTGCTGAGCTCAGAGCTATCATCTTCAAATATTTCAATAAGGTTTGTTTTGGCTAATGACTAATATTTTATCCTATTTTCTGTTACTGTTCTAGATAATGAAATGAAATGGTGTCAAGAAATCAAAGTAAATTTAACAAGCTTTTAGTGAAAATCTCTTCAGGTTACATAGCTCTGCTATGAATTAAGATATTTTTAATTTTTACATTAACCTACATAGGATACTTGTGTGTTAACTTTGTATGTTCTGGTTCGAGTCATTACTTTGAAACGTACTGCAAATCTAGATTTTTTTTTTTCCCTAAATCCCATATAAACTACTTTTGCACACACTGCCTGCAGTGTCTACAGCCACACACTGAAGATTCATACTAACATCTGGAAACAAAAATGAAATGTATTAAGACACAGTGTGTCTTTGTGATCTTGGGTAAAACTTGTGACATTTTGTGAACAAGCTGTCTATGGGATGCAATTTAATCTTTCCAGAATCAGGAAAACACTGTTGTTTCAATTTAAATTCTCCACAGAATATTAAAAAAAATCCACTAGTCCATGTGATCAGAATGTACAGAGCTCATTCATGAAGTGTGAACTCATAGCAGTAGGCAAGTTTGTATTCCACAAGCTTACAGCTTGTAAGAAACCATTGCTTTTGTATGCTTTATTAGGCAGAAGGGTAAAACCCATTATTAAAATAGTTTAATAAATCAAAATAAGTGTATTTCTTTCTTAGATTGTTGGCCTACGTGAATCTGAACGAAGATTACAACTGCAGATTGAAGAAAAGGAAATGAAAGTCAGAGACCAGGAAAACTTAATACGTGAGTTAGAATCTGCAGTTGACCATGTGAAGTTGCAGTGTGACAGGCAGCTGACCCTACAACACAAAGAACATGAAAAAAAACTACAGTTGATACTGCATCATTTCAAAGGTATTTGTTTCCTGCGGGTTATTGCTCAGTAAGTATTATCTTCAGTCACTACTGACAAATACTATATTCCAGCTGAAAAGAAAAAAAAATGTTCAGAGGTATATTTTGGCTGTCACTAATTCTGATGTTGTGCAGGTTGCTGAGGAACAGGGACATAGTGTCTCTATGTGTGTAAAACAGAGCATTTTCTTAAAGCGGTATCAGACTTGTGCTTTTATATTGAATTTGGAATATTGGAAAGTTTAAAGATACTGGTCCTGCTGATTTTGATCTTCTAAATATTCCTGTTAAAACTGACAAGTGGGGTTGGCATGGCCTTTTTGGTCCTGTGTTGTACTAGTTAAAATGTACACATTGCAAGCAAAGCGTCAGCAAGATCACAGACTCATAGAATAGTTACGGTCGGAAAGCACCTTAAGATCATCTAGTTCCAACCCCCCTGCCATGGGCAGGGACACCTCCCACTAAACCATGTCACCCAAGGCTCTATCCAGCCTGGCCTTGAACACCACCGGGGATGGAGCATTTACCACTTCTTGGGCAACCTGTTACAGTGCCTCACCACCTCCACAGTATAGAACTTCTTCTTTATATTTAACCTAAATTTCCTGTTTAAGTTTGAGCCCGTTACCCCTTGTCCTATCACTACAGTCCCTGATGAAGAGAAGATGCAAGACATATTCTGTCTAGTTAGGCATCTTGTTTTTTTGGCACAGGTATTTGGTTCTTAAAGTAGTTTTACTTGTCCTAGATCAAGATAGTGAAGGTATGTCAGAAACTTTGAAAGCATATGAAGTAAAAGTCCAGCAACTGGAAAAAGACTTATTCTTCTATAAGAAAACAAGCAGAGAATTGAAGAAGAAGTTGAAGGGCCTAACTGGAGAGTCATCCCATCAATTATGGGCAGCCACTAAGTGTAAGTGCACTATGTTAAAATATTTATGCAATTGTCAATAGACCATTTGATGGGTGATCAGCACATAGAAGTATATCAGACAGACATGAAAGTCATATTTGTACTGACCTAACTCCAGGAAGATAGTACACCTCTCCCCCAGTTTCAAATGAGAGACAACACTGGTTTATAGCTGTAATAGTGGTTTAATTTCTGTTTTCTATGGATTCTAACATAATTTCAGAATCTACAACCTCAGACTGTTGTGGTTAAGATAAAGGAATTTTACTATCAGAAATAGTCTGAATGATGTTGTAACTAACAGCTTTGCCATATGCCATGCTTTTAGATAGGTTGCTACCAGCATACAATTTTATAAAAGTTATTTAATGGAAAGTTGAAGAATTCCACACTTTCAGTTACTAACTTACTTTTGTTTCTTGTTAAGGCTAAAACAGAGGATTTACACACTTGTAAGAAAAAAGAAGAGCTTCCTAATGTGATTCTGTGCTTTGACATAAAAACCCCTAACAAACAGAAAAAAAGAAATGCACACACAGAAAAAGACCTAAACAAAACACCAACAACTAACTGCTACTATAAGATTTTAATTGTTTCATGTCCTACTTGCCAGAATTCAAACCTTCAATAGACCGTATCAGTGGGAGGTAAAAAGAAGGTTCTATTTCTGTCACTATTTTAGTTGTCTGACACCTTGCAATGCCACTATCAATATCTAACACACACAATACAGCCTTCTTGGCCCTATGTTTCTTCTTAAGGCTCAGCATGACTGGTTCTTCCCCCTAGCAGATGCTTCCATTTATTTCCACCTGGGCAGTGTCATGCCTTCCTAACACACAGACACTGATCATATACCTGTTGCTCCCAGAGCAAATTAAGGCACAGCTCTTGCCCTCTGAGCAGGATAATGAGCCAACACCTTCATTACTGTCATGGTTTAAACCCAGCCAGTAACTCCGAACAACACAGCTGTCCACTCATTGTCGTGGTTTAAGCCCAGCCGGCAACCCAGAAAACCATGAAGCTGTTTGGTCACTCCCCTCCACCTTCCTCCCCACACTCTGGGAGGGATGAGGAGGAGAATCAAAAGAATGTAACTCCTATGGGTTGACATAAGAACAGTCCAGTAACTAAGGTATAACACAAACCCACTACTGCTATCACCAGTAATAATAAGGGAAATAACAAGGGGAGAGAGTACAACTGCTCAGCACCTGCTGGCCAATACCCAGCCTGACCCGAGCAGTGATCTAACCCTTCTGGGTTAACTGCACCCAGCTTACATACCTGGCATGACGTGCCGTGGTATGGAATACCTCTTTAGCTAGTTTGGGTCAGGTGGAGTAGAATCGAAAGAATGTAAACCCCACGGATTGAGATAAGAACAGCCCAGTAACTAAGGTATAACACAAAACCGCTACTGCTACCACCAATGATAATAATGATAAGGGGAATAACACAGTCAACCTATGAACGTGAATATTCTAGAGGCTGATTATAAATTAGTGTCAGAAAGACTACTGTGAGTCTCATATACAAAGCAGTACGTAGTTCAGGACATATACCTGTGTGCAGAAATACCCATCCTAGCAAAATTATAGCAAGAAGATCCCTCTGAATTTCCAGCTTTTCGCATGTGGATGTTTATAAGTTTTACTAGAAAACCTCCATGGTTAGTTATTTTGCTTCTGAATACATTCTGAGGCATGCTGCAACACAATGCAATAAAAGCACTTCAGAATTTGTTGCTGTGCTTTAAAATAGTAAAAGCCTTGTGTGTACATTACAGTCAAATTTGCAGAATGTGTTGTGCATGTTGTGCTAATGTAATTTCTGCCTGTTTTTCAATAAATTAATAATTTCACATTTGACTGTCATGGTTCAGTTGTATTAAGACTGCCTATCAGGATACATAACAAGTTAGAATAGTGAGGCTTTTATTACCAGTACCTTGTCAGAGGAGAGTTACTAGCTTATACTTCTGATGCCTTTATAGATGACAAACATTTTAACAGAAATGACAAAATGTCCTTCTTTTACCATGTTCACTCTACAAGTTTTTGATGCTGTAAAACTGTATTGACTAATATTTCTTGCTGGTAAGCACCCAGAAGAGTTATAGGTTCTAACTATTTACCTCCTGATAAATTTAATTTTAGATAACAGTGCTGATGACAAAGCATCTGGCCAAGATGAAGCAGAAGTTGCTTCTGAAGAATTCAAGTCAACACTTAACCCTGAAACCAACAGTCAACCAGGGAAAATAAAAGCAACAGATAGAAGTATTTTAAGAGCACAGCAGAATTTACACAACCTTGGAAAAGAAGTTTCAGAATTTGGGTGCAACAAAGAATGCTTGTCAGGCACTAGTGATGACAAAATAGGAACAGGTGAAGCTCAGCCTTTAAAATCATGTCCTCACCTACCTTCTGTCACCCAGAGAAGAGAGACCATAACACAGTTTCAAAGAGTAACTCCAGTAAAGCTATCTCGCCGAGAGCTACGTCATATTCCTCCCTCTGAACTACCTTTGAGACGTTCAAGCCTTGGAGTTGGTGTCAGTCTTATTGCTGCAGATTCCATCGAAATAGACAAAAAGTCCAGTGTTTCTGAGTAGATTGCAAAATATTTCATTCTAAACCACTTAACATGTGAAATGATTGTTTCTTTCATAATTATACCTAGTTATTACTTATTGTTTAGCTGGGCTGTGAAATAAAGATGAGGATCTTGTTTGATTGTTTTTGTATTGTGCTTGATTGTTTTTACTGTTATGGAAGACATAAGACATAATGTTATGGAAGTTTTGGAAGTATGGAAGGTATGGAAGTTATGGAAGTACGGAAGTTATAGAAGACATAATATTAAGTTTAATACTAAATGTATGTCTTAATTGCTTTGTTTCTAGTGAAAAGTCAATAAACAGAAACAGTTTCAGATGTGTACTTATTACCACACCTTATGAAGTGAAGGAATTGCTCAAGGCATTTCTTCTCAAGTTAAAACCATGCATTATCATATGTCTTACACTCCTATATGAATAAAGATTAATTCCTCTTCTTTTGAAGTTTACACAAGTGAAAAACCTGTTCTTTATAGATGCAAAATAAGCAATGAAAATGCAGGAAAGTACAACTCAGTCACTGGTAGAAGTCAGCTGGTGCTCTGGAGGTGCCTGTAGCTGTCACACTGTGGGTGAAGCAGTTATTCAAACACTAGATTCAAATACCATACCCATGTCAAGACATAACTACAATGTCACCTGATCTAGTTAATAGATAGATAAAGAATCTAGATAATAGGTAGATAAATGGATCAGATAAGCTTGTGGAAGAAGTAGAACCACTGGCCATGAGAGGGACCTAATGTAGGCAAAGCAATGAGAGAGGCTGGCCAGGCAGTCACACAGGGAAAAGTAAATGTTTAAACCTTTAAACATTTTAAAAATGAAATTTCTGTTCTCACATACGCACCTCTAATAGACCTAACAAATTAAATAGTTTTACCTCTTTCTGTTACTTAAAAGCAAGCATTCATCTGATAGGCTGTTATTGCAGTGATGTTATTCACTGTCCTTCACTGACATTTAGCTGATGTGCAATATGGGGGTGAAAACAGTATGGAACTAATCTGCAGTAATCTACCATGCCATAATTTCATTTATTAACAGCTGTTTCTCCTGCCATGTACTGCTAGAACTACAAAAAAAGCCATATGTATGATCTGTCATCTAGCTAGTAACTGTGAACATAAACCAACTTTACCAATTATCTGAATTCTCTATTATGATAATTTCAACACTGTGATGGCAGCATATCTAGAACAGACTATTGCCCTTTCCATTACTGGCTGTCTTCTTAGCAGTCTACAGGAAATGGCAGTTACCCCAGACACATAGTTTGCAGAACCTCCCTTATTTGTGTAAATACCAATCACACCACCTTTGTGAAACAAATCAGGCTCGTAGTAACTTAATGGCAGATTTAATTATCCTGAAACAAAACAAAGTTTCATTCTTAGTAACCTAATCATAGAACCATAGAATCATAGAATAGTTAGGGTTGGAAAGGACCTTAAGATCATCTAGTTCCAACCCCCCCCCGCCATGGGCAGGGACACCTCCCACTAAACCGTGTCACCCAAGGCACTGTCCAGCCTGTCCTTGTACACCACCAGGGATGAAGCATTCACAACTTCCCTGGGCAACACATTCAGTGCCTCACCACCCTTACAGGAAAGAATTTCCTCCTTATATCCAACCTAAACTTTTCATGTTTAATTTTGAACCCATTACTCCTTGTTCTATCACTGCAGTCGCTAAAGAAGAGTTCCTCCCCAGCACCCCTACAGCCCCCCTTCAGATACTGGAAGGCTGCTATGAGGTCTCCACGCAGCCTTCTCTTCTCCAGGCTGAACAGTCCCAACTTTCTCAGCCTTCTTCATATGGGAGGTGCTCCAGTCCCCTGATCATCCTCCTGGCCCTCCTCTGGACTTGTTCCAACAGATCCATGTCCTTTTTATGTTGAGGACACCAGAATTGTACACAATACTCCAAGTGAGGCCTCATGTGAGCAGAGGGGCAGGATCACCTCCTTCAACCTGCTGGTCACGCTCCTTTTGATGCAGCCCAGGATATGGTTGGCTTCCTGTGCTGCAAGCGCACACTGAAGCCGGCTCATGTTCATTTTCCCATTGACCAACACCCCCAAGTCCTTCTCCACAGGGCTGCTCTGAATCTCTTCTCTGCCCAGCCTGTAGTTGTGCCTGGGATTGCTCTGACCCAGACGTAGGACCTTGCACTTGTCATGGTTAAACCTCGTAAGGTTGGCATCAGCCCACCTCACAAGCATGTCAAGGTCCCTCTGAATGGCATTCCTGCCCTCCAGTGTATCAACCGATCCACAGGTGTCACTGGCAGACTGAGGGACACCACTCGTTACTGGTCTCCAGCTGGACATTGAGGCATTGACCACAACTCTTTGCATGCGGCCATCCACCGAGTGCTCCATTCATCAAATTGGTGTCTCTCCAATTTACAGACAAGGATGTCGTGTGGGACAGCTTCAAACGCTTTGCACAAGTCCAGGCAGGTGACGTCAACTGCTTTACCGCTGTCCATCAATTCTGTAGCCCCATCATCGAAGTCCACCAAATTGGTCAGGCAGGATTTCCCCTTAGTGAAGCCATGCTGGCTGTCACCAAGCACCTTGTTGATTTTCATGTGCCTTAGCATACCTTCCAGGAGAATTTGCTCTAAGATTCTGCCAGGCACAGAGGTGAGACTGACAAGTCTGTAGTTCTCCGGGCCATCCCTTTTCCCCTTCTTGAGAATGGGGGTTAAATTACCCTATTTTTCTGTCATCAGGAAATCTACCTAAGTGCCATGGTTTTTCAACCATGGTGAGGTGTAACAGGTATTGAAACCCCAGCTCTGTGCGTGGGTTGAGGGACCTTATACCCTGGCACAGCCCATTAAGCAGCATGCTCATTTTATATAGGGCTTCCAGAAAACCTGGAAATACTTTTGCAGGAAAAGCTTTTTTCAGCACATCACTGCAACAAATGCACGTTTTACACATTTCTAGGGTTAGGTAGCTTTTGCTTAACAGCAAACACTAAACGCAAACCAGCAAACTTGTTGCACTGCAGGCAGTAACTCGGTAACCCGGGTTGTTCAGGCCTCGCTCTGCAATCACACCGCACGTCCACAGCGCAAGACACAACTCAAAACAAAAAGGCCGGAGACCCGCTGACCCTCCGCACCCACCGCAGTGGCCTTAGAGGGGGCGCCGCAGGGGCTTGGGGGACGCCAAGGCCGGTCCCAGCTCTCCGGTGCATGACGGGCAGGGCCTAGCCGAACCGAACCGCGATGGGCAATGCCGGCGGCCGCCTCCCGGGTGCTGCGTGGGGTGATCTGCGCGAGCCCCCCCCCCGCAAATCCCGCGGTCACCCTCCTGCCCCGCGGTTATTTTGACCCCGGCGGCAGCCCGTACCAGCCGCTCCCGGAGCGCCGCGCTGACGCAGCGCGCGCCCCTGCACCCAGCGCCCAGCCAACCAGCGCGCGAGGGGCAGCGAGCGGCCAACCCTCCGGCCAGCGGCGCGCGACACAGCTGCGGCGCCTGCCCCGCCCCTCCCGGCCCCGCCTGCACGCCCGTTATAACGGCCCGCCCGTCGCTTCCTCTTTGGGTTTCTCCGCTTCTCCCTGCCACCGCGACCGGAGTGAGTGTCCTGCGGGGGCGCCCGTCCCGCTCCCGGTCCCACCTGCCGCCCCTTCCGTGGGGCGGGGGCTCCGCTCCGCGCTGTCCCGCCCCGTCCCGCCCGCGGTGGGTAGCGGGCGGCAGTGGGCCTGCGGCGCTGGGGCAGGGGGGCTTCGGCGCGGGGCTGGGGGCCATGCCTCCCAGCGGCTCTTTCCGCTGGGAGCGGCGTCGCTGGCCCGGGAGCGTCTGGGGCGGCAGGTGTCGGTCGCGGAGCGGTTGGCCAGGGGCGGGTTTAACTCGCTCGCTAGTGCTGTCGCTTAGCTGCCCCCGTTTAGTTCGTTTCGTCCGCTGCCTTTGGGCGTCTGCACGGAGCCGCCGCTTCCTCTCTTCAGCCTCCCGTACGCCGCGAACGTGTCGGACAGCGTGGGACGAGGTGCCCGGCAGCTACCTGGCGCGCGGAGGCAGGAGCTCCTCCTCAGGAGGGAGTCCGCCCGGCTTTTCTCTGGAGTGGCACGAGCAGGGCCCGCTCATCCCCCGACGCACTCTAAAGAGGGCGCGTTAATTAAACATGCGTCAGCTACAAACAGAACATACTGGTTGTAATTAGAATGCAAAATGCTTTTGGTATAGCATTTACTGATCACTGGCTATTTGATTACTTAAGGCTGCTCATATGTATTGGTACCTAAGAATGCTAGTATTTTTTGTTCCATTAGTTGTATATAGTGAATGATAGAATGGTTTGGGTTGGAAGGAGTCTTAAAAATCATCTAGTTCCAATCCCCTGCCACGGGCAGGGACACCTCCCACCAGGCCAGGTTGTTCAAAGCCTTGTCCGGCCTGGCCTTGAACACTTTCAGGCATGGGGTACCTAACAGCTTCTTTGGGTAGCCTGTGTCAGTGCCTCACCACCCTCACAGGGAAGAATTTCTTCCTGTCTAATCACCCCTCTTTCAGTTTAAAGTCATTCCCCCCCCTTGTCGTGTCCCTACAGGCCCTTGTAAAACATCCCTCTCCAGCTTGCTTGTAAGCCCCTTTTAGGACTGGAAGCTGCGGTAAGGTCTTCGAAGTGAATATGAAGTTTCAAAGTTTGTTAGAAAAGGGTCGTTAGATAAAGTTTAACTAATTTCATTTAACTTTTTTTTGGGGGGGGGGCTGGGAATCAGAGGAGGAAATGCAGGGGGTGCTGCATTAGTTTGAGCATAGGATATTGACTGACAAAGTCAAATTTACCTTCGCTAAATTCAAGTTTACCAAAGTTAAAATTTTAATTTTAAAATTTATTTTTTAATCCTTTAAAACTCACTTATAAAAATCCTTTTATTGACTAAAAAAAAAGTTGTAAAACATGTTCTTTCTCAGAAGACATTGATTTTTGGAAAGCATGGCAGTAAATTCACCATATTGCTCTTTCAAACTGTGTAAGACCCCTTATCTGCCATGGGTTTATTGCTGCTGTTTATGCCCGTGCTGCAATTGACAAGTAGATTTCTAAAGCAGTATTCAGGGATTGTGTTTGTTTGTTTGGTTTTGCTTTGGTTTTGGC